CTGTTTGCAGGCTGGTCAAGCCCCCCAGCGGGGACCCTCCCCCCATGGGGGTGTGCCAGCCTGGGTGAGGGGCTGAGAGCCGTTTTCAGGCTGCCCACAGCCCTTTCAGGGTGGGGAAGTCCTGCTGGGGTGCCTGGCCAGACTGGATGAGGGGCTGATGGCCATTTTCAGGCTGGCCACACTCCCCAGCAACCCAAGCTCCCAGCCTCTCCTTTTTTCCTTTTTTTCTTTTTCTGGAATTTATTTATCTTCTATAATTGAAACTTTGTAGCCTTGAGTGGAGCCCAGGGCAGGTGGGAAGCTTGGCTTCCTCCATCACTGGAGCAACCCAAGCCTCCTGCTCGCTCCAGCTCCATGGCCACCGCCATCTTAGCTGGGTTAATTTTCATACTCACTCCTGATTGGCTGGTGGACGTGGTTTGAGCATAGCAGAGGGATGGTTAATTTGCATGTTTCTCTTTTATTACAAAGGATTTGGATTAATACCAGAAGTATTGCATATGAATTTTTAAAGTATATTTTATTGATTTTTCACAGAGAGCTTTAAGCAAGTTCTATAATCTTTCTAAGTCCAGTTCCCTCCTTGGCAACAGGAGGGTAAATAATATTACTTGTTGAATAGGAATGTTGTGAGGATCAAATCAGATAATACATATAAGCACTTGCCTATTTGGCTCAGTGGTTAGAATGCCCACTAAAGGGTCGCTGGTTCCATTCCTGATGAAGGACAAGTACATCCCCAGTGCCTGTTGGGGCACGTGGGAGAGGTAGTCAATCAATGTACTTCTCTCACTACGATGTTTCTCTCTCCCCCTCCCTTTCCCTTCCTCCTTCTCTCTCTAAAAATATCAATGGAAAAAAATATCCTTGGGTGAGGATTAAAAAAAAGAGAAAAGATAATATGTATAGTACAGTGCATGGCATGCAGTATGCATTCATTAAATATAAATTATGATGATGATACTTCAGAAGACTTCTGGCTTAAAGAACCATTTCTGAAGTTAGATCTAAGAGTAGCACTTAGTTTATGATTATGTAGTGCTATCAGAACTACTTCAAACTAATCAATTCAGATCAGTCAGTTCAATCAGATAATCACCTTATACTTTAACTGCATATGGTGTTTTTGGTCTCAAGAAGGAAGAACTTCTGGTTGAAAGTAAGAGTGATGAAATATAACTCTCCTTTGGCAACTTTGGCATGAGAATCTACTCAATTGAAACTCAAATCAATCAAGAACCTTTAAATAAATGAAATAATATGCTATTATTATTAAATTGGAAAATTGGCTAAAGTAATTAAATTATACATTTCTATTGCCACAAACTTTTACAAATTGTTTTTGCTCCATGCCCTCACCTGTGTACTATAGAAATTCTCTTGTTTTTTATATTTGTAACGTGGGATGTTTTCCATTATTACATCACTGGTAAAAATTACCCTGAATGTTCTAATTAGATGTGTTTGTTAGACATGGCATTGCCTTTTTAATACAGTATTCCATATATACTTCTGCCCTCCATAAAACTTATGAGAACCCCAGACAATGTCTCGTTTCATAAATACTAGGAACACTCTTGTCAAAAACAGGACCAATGTTGCATTCACTTGTCTTACACACCTAAACACAATTCTTTCCTAGCTCAAGTAAAATCAAAATAATTTGCTCCATTACTGCTTCTCTCTTTTCACAGGTGGAAAAATCACTAGTGCTCAGTCAACCCTCCATACTGTCTCCACATCTTCATCATCAGTAACGTTGCTCTTGGCATTGATGATTCCTTCAACTTCTTGGTGAAAACCGTAGACTTAATTTGCTTTACTCTGATAATAGTGACGAAGAGTGTGCTATAAGTGGAGACCCAGGACACTGGAATGAGCTTTAAAAACTTGGGATTATACATGATGCACTTATAGGAGGTTGGGGGAAATAGTACTTATCCACCAGGTTTTTCTTTGGTTTTTGTCAATGGAGAGGACAGTTCTTGGTCCAATAAAAATATGCAGGTTGTATGTAATGATTTTTTAAAGCAATGGTAATTTCTGTCTAATGTATTCTTTACTTTTTTAACATGTGGGAATTTGATTTTATATCTGATAACCCTAAGTGTGTGCCATCCATTTGTTAAGTAAGTGGTTTCTAGCAGATCTGTTTCAAACACAAATACAAAACTGAGAATGAAAACTTTGGTTAAGACGCTGAATCTACTGTTTTTCCTTTTCCCTTTGGCTTATATTTCAATTGACAACATGACAGGAGATATGAAAACTACTTCAGTTGTGTGGGCCATTATAGGATAAGTATACAAAAATTTTCTGGAAAAATATTGTATGACTGCATAGTGAAATAGCAAAATTTGTCAATATGCTATTCTATATGCATCCCTAAAGCAAGTTATTAGGGTAGGGAATAAGCCATTTATATTAGTGCAAGATAAATAGAAAGTGAGTCCAAATGAATTTAAATGATGTTGTTTCTCATCAAGTTCTATGTTATCTAGCTGCAAATATATTAAATGTTTATTTTTAATAACAAAAGATAGTTTAAAGTCACAAAAAATATGGTTACTAAGAACTGCAGACACTGACTTGTTGCGAAGGGTGCTAACTTGTAAATGAAATGACAACAGACACAGCTTCCTGTTTCCACACCTACTGCCAAAACAGAGATGGAATGAGGTCCAAGGTTTTCTTCTAATTGAAAATAATTTTAAGGACAATGAAAAATTGTCATACAAATAATTATGCATACATATAGTCTGTAAATTAAAACGGTTCAAGCATAACAAATAAATTTTGATTTTTAAACAGTTCTGTGCATCACATACCACTTATAAATGATTACCAACTGTTAAGTAAAAAGAATCTCTAGGATAAACTGACTTTTTAAATTAAACTGTGGAAACATGGCCACAGTACAAGGTGAGCCCCATTTGCCATTTGGAGGCATCAACCAAGACCTATTTGATCCTACATAGTTGTTAGAAAGTGAGGTGAACGTTTTCTGCTTGGTGATATTTTTACAAAAGTTCTAACCAACATGAGAACTTGCCAGAGTTTGCATCACACCCAAAAAGATGCCTGAAGAGAAAGTTTTTGCAAAGTCATATACCAATAAACAGCCTGCATGTTAACAGGTGATGTTAATCTATACTAATAAAAGGGTGATATGGTAATTAGACCAGATCGACCAGACATCTTCCGGACATCCAACATCCTTCTGGATAAAGCCGGGGCCCGGCCCGGGGAAGCCACCCTGGAGGCAGGGAAACCACCCACAATCACTGTCCTGGGTGCCTGCGTCCAGGGCCAGGCAAAGCTGGCCGTGGTCTCGGGTGCCTGCAGCTAGCCAGAGGAAAGGAAGCCCGGGTCCCGGGTGTGGGGGCCAAGGCAGAGGCGGTTAGGGGTGATCAGGCAGGCAGGTGAGCAGTTAGGGGCATCAGGCAAGCAGGCAGAGTGGTTAGGGGCAATCAGGCAGGCAGGCAGAGTGGTTAGGGGCATTTAAGCAGGTAGGCAGGCAAGTGGTTAGGAGGCCAGCGGTCCCGGATTGCAAGAGGGATGTTCAACTGCCAGTTAGGATCAGGCCTACACTGGCAGTCGGACATCCCCTGAGGGGTCCCAGATTGCAAGAGGGTGCAGGCTGGGCTGAGGGACTCCCCCCCCTCCTGCCCCCCATGCACAAATTTTGTGCACGGGGCCTCAAGTATGATAATAAAAAGCAATTTCTTTTATAACTTTCATTCTATTTGTATTTTTAACAGGAAGCCATATGAAGCAACATTGAGCTCAAACTGGTGGCTCTAGAGGTTAATTCCTGTAGAATCAGAGGAGAGATTGGAATTTCTGTTCTGAATACCCTAAAAGATTAATTTCAGAGCCACAGAACAACTATTTATGTTGGTTACTCCTGTTTTGAGGGAATTATGTCCAAAAAACCCCTAAACAAATAAATAGTGACTTAGACTATTTTAGTTTACGGATTATTCTAATAAATTACCACAGATGGTGAATATTGAAGTCAGTGAATAATAATGACCAAATGGCCTTCCTTGAGCACCTCCTTTGTATTGGGAGAGGCTGGACTTTGCAGAGAGGGATGCTATTAGGCAGGCAAAATATGAGCCTTCCTGAGCCTAGTATAGCTTGCAGGAGCAAAATGTGCATCTGAAAAGAATGCAGCAAGAATATTTAAAAACGGGCAATAATTTTTACTTTATATTTGATTAATTAAACCATTTTCTTCATTTTTCATGGTGTTTTATATAAGACTTAGTGACAGACTTTAAAAATCAAGTGATTACTAGAATTCTTATAAAACAACCCCCACCACAAAATATAATGTCAGTATATGGCAAATTCAAATTAACCAATATTTTCACCTAGCTGATGGATGGTACATATCTGACAGAATATTTAAATATAGAATTCTGATGTTGTATTCTTAGAGGAATCAAAGATATGGGATGTTTTTACTCGACATGCACAGAATATGTATTTTGCATCATAAACCTACTTAAAAAATAGGTTTGAAATGTTTATGTACTTATATATTGCATACTTGTTACTTTGAAGAAAACAAAACAACGTTCTTTATCAAGGTACATTATTTTCCAGCTGCAATATTGAGTGAGCTTTTTCTTGAATAGAATAATAACCACACAGTCTTAAATCACTAAAGGGACTGTATTTTTGTATAATGTCAATTGAACTATGAAGAAAAAAACAACACTCCTCATAATTAAAAATTCCATGAAAGTGAATGTTTTCCATACCTATATGAAGGTATTGTGGACCCCATGTCAAACAGTCAAATATATTGTATACAGTCTGTATATATGTACTATATATAAGGTTATATACCGTGTGGAAGGCACAGTCAGATAATAATTCTGTGTACTGTTCTTGTAACATTAGATCTTTTTAATAAATAATTCTCTTTTTATTGACTTTTATCTTCTCTCCTGTCAACTATATGAATGCCATTATTTATGTCACGTAAAACACAGTATACTCACAATTATGGTAATGTTTTCACACTGAAAATATCATTATCCACAGATGTCCATGGTAGTTTCAGCTTGACAGTCGGAAGCTACCTCAAAGAATAAACTAAGCAAAAAAGCAGTGCAAATGGGATAAATTCATAGTTAGACTCACGATGTATTTCTTCTCAAGACGGAGACTTTATTAAATGAGTTTTGTAAAGAGTTTGGTAAATGTGCACTTCTGCTTCTATTAGGAACAGCATATCCCAAGTACAATTCTCCTAGACAGTCATTCACTTCTTTGTGCTCCCTTAGCACTGTGTGTATATGTCTATTATACCAGCAGTCTCAAGATGTTATGATGATTTGTTTATGAGTGTTTCCCCTTCACTAGTCTATGAGATCCTCCAATCATTTTAGGATTTCTCTCACCAGTGTCCAGCACATATCAAGTTAGCAATTAATTGGATTTAAGTTAAGGTTGGCCTTAAACATTTCCTTTAGACCAGACTTCCCAGACCTGAGTCACCATCCAAATCTTGGAGCTCTGACTCAGTAGGTCAGAGACTAGGGAACCTGTATTTTCAAAATCTTCTCAAGAACAAAAGGATATAACTAATGAAGGGAATTTAGCAATAAATAGTAAAAAGTTTTATAGATTTACCATTTGACCTGGCAATCCTAGGTCTAGGAATCTATTTCTAAGAAAGACTAGCAAAAATATGCAATTTGATGTGAATATATAAGGTATAGACTATACAAGGTAAATATATGCTCACTTTTGTGTAAGAAGTGGAGAAAATACACACATATTTGCTAATATTCGCTAAAAGATATAATGGAAGAATAAACTAAAGACTAATAAAAATTGTTACCTACTAAGGTAAGAGAGAATAGGACATGGGAACAAATATGCAAGCAAGCTCTTTCGCAATGTATTTATTTCTTAGTTTTGACCTTGGAAGTACAAAAATGTTTTACATTAATTTAAAAATCAAACAAAAAGAAAAATACAAAGCAACCTCCAAAAAATAAGTTGGAAATAAGGTAACTAACTATATCAACTGTTGGTTAATAAGCTAAAGCTTTTTTATAGAAGAATTTAACCTCATAGATAAATATTTCCAGTCAGTATGTTGACAGTACATCCTAATGAGGCATACATATGAAGAACAACACACACATCAAAAGTATAAAATCTTAAACTACATTCATTGGTCTTCTTGTGAGTAGCACAACTAGTTGAATTATTTTTAAACTAGCCAATAAATAAATACAAATGTTAAAAGTATTTAAAAAGTACATTTTGGGGATAAGAGAAAAAAGATATATATACAAATTTTTTTAGTTAAATAAAATCTGTAATCTTTGATTTATCAGTATGAAATATCAGTACGAATTCGTAGTTTGACATTTTTCTTAAAAATGACCTATTATTGCCCTAGCTGGCTTGGCTCAGTGCATAGAGTGTCGGCCTATGGACTGAAGGGTCCCAGGTTTGATTCCGGCAAGGGCACATGCCTGGGTTGCAGGCTTGTTCCCCAGTGGGGAGTGTGCAGGAGGCAGCTGGTCAGTGGTCCTCTCTCATCATTGATGTTTCTATCTCTCTCCTTCTCCCTTCCTCTCTGAAATTAATAAAGAAATATATTTTTTTAAAATGACCTATTATTTAGCTTTGTTAACTGCAAAGGTCTAAACATTGAACACTCTTAATAGATAAATAATAGAAGTAATGATTAAAGCACAGATTTTTGCCTCCAAATTCATTCACCGTTAAAAGGAAATTTACTGCAGAAATTGTTGATTTAAGGTCTTGGGTAGGAAGTGAACAAGATGAATCCAGGTTTTCTTTTTGTGTCTTTAAAGACTACCATCTGCGTGAGATAAATTGAGCTCAAAAAGAATAATGACAGCAGTAGATTGAAACAAAAGTAATATCTAAAAATCCATGATTTCATACTAATATTTACACAAAACTTTGGTTATATTTGTTGGATGCAAGATTCATCATTCTGAGAATTATTATAAAAATGTAAAAGGGAAAGAATTAAGTATGTATCCTGACTTTCTTATAAAGGCTATGTATTAGGATAATCAAACAGCTGATTAAAGATAACTCGACTTTATAAAAGAATCATAGCTAATAAATGCAAAAGGAGTAATAAAAAAATAATAGTAATGTAGAACACTCTTCAGGATGATCCAAATTTTTTTTTAAATACATTTTATTGATTTTTTATAGAGAGGAAGGGAGAGGGATAGAGACATCTATGAGAGAGAAACATCAATCAGCTGCCTCCTGCACGCCCCCTACT